CGAGAGGCCTCGGCTCTACGCCACTCACAAAAAAGGTTCATTGGTTTTATTTCCCCTAAATTAAGCAGTGGTTAGTGATTCTATCAGAAGAATGTATTTCAAAGATATTGCATCCAGTTCTCTCATTTCTGGTTTATTGGATGCTGGCTACACCTTAGGCTGCAGAGAGCTCCCTGGTGCGGTATTTTCCCTTTTTTCTAAAAAGTCTCCTATTTATCACAGAGAATGAGGAAATATCTACTTTAGCTCTCCTTACAGTAGTAAGGAAACTTCCTCAGAGTTTTTGCCATATGGTGGAGTAGCCATTGATCTCATAAAAGGAAAGTCCGCTTTGTTTAACTCTTTGAATCACTGTTTCACTTTCCTTCGGAAAACTCCCCTAAATTCTAATATAGACTCAAGTTCTTGTAGGTTCAAGGAGAGCCTACAATATTTCTATTGGTAACATTTTAGTTCATTTTCCTTATGACTTTTCCAGATGATTACTTTCTTTTTTCCATTTGAAGTTGTGGGGTGGTAAAGGTTGATTATGATCATCTGGGACAGATGGGTGGGGACGAGCAACATTCAAGGTCGGCACGTGACCTGTGTGCCATTAGGATCCTCGGCAGCGATTTCCCTCTGAATTCATTTCAGATGAACGGGCAGATCACAGGGAATGAATATTCTCAGAAAGGAGTTAACAACATCCCTCACTGGCTTTGGTTTTTTTTTTTTTTTTTTACAAAGGCTCTTGGTTTTCATGAGATGTCTTTTCATCTTAATGAAAGAACTATGCCTTCAGGTCACGGTCCTACTGAGTGAAAATTCTGGCTGAATCTGAAGTTCCTGCTGAAATCAGAAATGATCAAAGCAGGAAAACAAGTGGTAAATCACTGCCTCCAGGATGTGGAGATGTTTGATGTGACGGGTGAATCAGAGGTTACAAACATCCTGGTCTTTAAAAAATATACGCGTGATTATGGTTTTGTTCTCTTAGAAAAACCTCATGTTTTATAGCATGAAAACCTCTAGAATATGCCCGCTTTTATTTGATTGGATATTACTCGGTCCAAATGTTCACAGATCAAAATTCTTATAGCTTTCCTCCCATTTTGTCATTCCATTTGCAACTGTTCAATGAGTTTGGGATTCATTAAACAAAAATTTGTATTGAGCGGGTTGTCATACATTTCTACATTTTAACAAATATTCCCTTACATAGATTTTCTTTGCTTCTGTTACATGCCAATTAAGGTTGGATGCATTTCTCATGTTCACCTCACCTGTGTCACTATTCTCCTCTCTATTCTCCACACCCTTCATCTGTCCTGTCCCAGAACTATTCACTCACACCTATCGTAACCCTAGCTACACATGAGATGCACCTGGGAAGCTCTCGCAACACACTGATGCCTGGGCTCCATTCCTAGGACTTGCGCCTAATCTGACTCGGGTGACATCATGGCACACAGGAAATGTTTTTAAAGCCCCAAAGGTGATTCCATCGTGCGGCCACAAGTGAAAAATCCTCGCTGTCTCTATGGATCTGTTGTATTATGATTATTTGTGAAACCTTATTTCTCACTGGAATTTTCGGCACGTTAAATCAAAGACTATGCCTGATGCACAGGTGAATTCCAATGCCTGTTGAACTTGATCTATGGAACGCATGTATGCTAAGTACCCTGTGGAACATCCTGGAAGACCCACAATTCAAGGGAGTGTCACCTTTTACTCAAAAACAGCACAAAGTGTTATGAAATTATCCAGTAAAGACAAATTTAACACACCATAATTGTGACCTAGTAAGACTATAAGGGAAATCAAAATAAAATATTGGGACACAGAGTCAAATCAGCTTGAGAAATCAGGAAGGCATAATGGAAGGGGTAAAACATTAGGATCAATCATGTGTAGAATTTTGAACGGGGCTGTGTATATAATTTTGACAGAAAGAAATGTAAATGGAGTGGAGACGAGAACAGAACCACTTCTAGTAGGAGAGAACAGAGTGAGGAAGAAGGAAGAGGGGCGGAAGTGTGAAGCCCATTAAGGAAATGGCTTTAAGGCATTTAAGAAGCAACTACAGGAAGAAGGGTCACGGTGGCAGGAAGCTGGTGGGGTGAGTTCACGGGGCCTTCAAGGGCCCAGTGGATGAGAGCGGCCTCCATGAGGTTTCTGAGCAAGGGGAGTAATGTACCCAGATATCTGTGCTTTAAAAAAGTCCGTCTGCCTAATGAATTATCTTGTAGCTTTTAAAATACATTTTTATGAAATATGAATTACATTATGGGAATACCATGAGCAGGTAAGGCCTTTTTCATGCTAAAATCCTGTTCATTATGTGGTCAATGTGTTCATCAAAAAAAAGATCCCTGAGAGATCGGCACATAAATCACTGTACTCGGGTGACAATATTTCGTTGGCTTAGCGGAGAAAAAATACATGAAGGTGAAGAAGTATGATGGCTATGGCAGTTCCCTTAAAAAACTGGACTAAAAGACTTTTTGGGAGGGTATCAAAAGAAAAAAAGAGGCAAAGAAAATTTTCTTCACTTAATGTAATTTTCTGCACTACCACACATAAATGTGTAAGTTGAACTTAGGCATTTTATATAGTCACATTTACTTCCTCTCCACAATTGCTCTTGACTAGCAAATGCAATATCTGTGGCTGAGAAAACCTGCAGAAAACTAGCTTGCACGCCGTGAAGTCACTTTAGGCCAAACGCCTTTCCCGGGCCAGCTCTCACCGGGGTGGCAGGCCGTTCCCACGCTCACCTGTGCGCTGCCTCGCAAGCAGGTGAGTGTCCATCCCCCACCACTGCGCTGGGGAGAGCACCTTCCAGATCTACACCAGGCTATCTGTTCCACTTCTTAAACAATTCCACTGTATTGACCAATAAAGCAATAGGATATATAACACACAAGCAACCTAAAGCAAGTCAAAGTTTGCAAGCATTGGATGCAATTCTCTCATTTTAAATTCAACGCAACAGCTGTGTGTGTTCATATGTATGTGAACATTCCAGTGCGAAGTGAAGAATACTGAGGAATTCGGATATTCATGAAGATATTTAAAACAAAATATATTATTCAGAGTCTAACGACACAACTCAGCATTTGTCGGTGCCAGCGGCATGCAGTGATACTTAGTGAGATAATATGGAAGTTTCCATGGCTCATATACTGACGCTCTATAGGTTCAAACGGACCTGTGGATAGTTTTCAGTCCTCTAATTATGTTATGCACTTCAAAATTGGATTGAGAAAAACAAATAAATTATTCTCAAGGTAGAGATGTCCAGTTCCAGACAAGATGGAGTAAATACAATCTATTTCACTCCTCCTGCTAATCACAAAAAAGACTCTAGTCAAAACGTCTAAGTCATTTATCAGAAGAGTCCAAGAGCAGAGGAGGAGGGACTGGCTGGGAGCCTCAGGAGCCAGAGAATGACAGGGGAGTGAGTCTATAGGGTTATTTATTCATTTTTGTGTCCACTACATATCCCCAGGGTATTAGAGAAGTCCCCCAGGCAGCTCAATGCCACCTCAACATAGAACCCAAGAACAAACAAAGGTCAAGTAAAAGGGTGGCCTGACACAAAGGACACTTTTCACCATGCCTGCCTATTCTGGGGGTGACTATCACAAAAACAGCAGTGTCGCTCCCCCTCCACTGGAAGGATGGCACGGCAGGGGGCAATGAGAAACACCATTCCCGGGAGGAACCACGGGCAGGAACCTATATTCCGCCCCCATTCCTATTTGACTGACGAGATGGCACCCTTTGCCCCAGGGGGTCTGCAACTGAACTCACTTCCAGCTCTTACTTAATTCATGGGGCTTGCCCCTACCCCCCACCCCGGAGCCCCTGGGTGGAATTCTGCCTTCCTCTCCCGGTTACAAGGATGAGGTGACAGGACTCGTTTCTGCAGCGGAAGGGACGACCTGCAGGAGTTTCTCTGTGGCGACGGAACAGTTCTCTGTGACGGCCGCTCTCATCCACACCTGTAATACAATTTCACTGAACCATGTACCCCCCTCACCAAAAACAAAAACCCGAACCTGGAGACATCTGAACACTGCATACCTAATAATAAATGTATTGTGTGGTAAATGTGATAAAACTGGAAAAAAAGGAGGTGCTGGTTTTGCTACTCAGGTACGTTTTCCAAATACTATCATTAAATCAACTATGATGGCAGATCCTGTTTCCCCGACCTCTCAAAATTCAGGTTGTTATTCTGAGAAGAGTGACTACTTGAAAAGAAGAGTTACCGTTCACATCAGGGTCACACTCTGTACGGTTTCCGTAAGTGCAGTCAGAGCCAGAGGATGTCAGAAGATAAACTTAATAAACCACTGACGCAATGTTTTAAAGTAGCCAAAGACACAAAAAATCGACAAAGTATATTATAAGCAACAGTAGTAATGCTTTGGGTCTTGTACCACACCTTTTCCCTAAGGAACTGAATATTTTTCTCTTTTCATCTCCTTATGTAACTGACAAGGTTCTGTACTGACGTCTCTCTTTTCAGACGGCACAGGTAAATGACAGGGCAGTGCACGCGCCGTGCCTCAGACCACGTCGGAAACCGCCCGTGGGGTGAGAGTCGGGAACCAGGACTCGCGCTCTGCCTGCGGTGTCTGGCTCTGTAGTTACACTAGACTGTGTTGTCAGCTGCCTCCCTACCTGAACGCCCTCCCATTGAATGAGCAATAGTCGATCCCAGGACACGATCTATTTTTAGTAGCTTTGTTCACACAAAAATTTCCTGCCAGCAGAGCACTAAGTACTCAGTAAGCCACATATTCAGGCATTAATTCTAATTCAATTTCTGCTCCAGTGTTTTTGTTTTGGAAACAAAACCCAGCATCTTTAAGTTACTAAATGGTTTGAGATACAAGCACTATTCATTGTGACGGACCACGCTTCTTTATTCTAAATGTAGCATAAAGTGTATAAACTTCCCCAAAGGGAAAATAACATCATTCATGTGTCTTGTCGTCACTTACTTTCTTCTTTCTGTTTCGAATCTGTGGAGTAGTTTCCGAAGACCGCCATTCTTAAATCCCTGAAAGTGGGCAGCTGGGGCTCCCACGGTGATAACATCGTAGAGAGCATCTGGAACAGGAATGGACAAGGAGATAGATGGACACTTCGCAAACATTTCTCTCCTGCACGCTGTTTGCACAGGAGCATACACACTGTCAGAAGTTTGAGGCGTTATTCTGTTTAATTTTGCAGAAATAACTCTGAACTCGCATCTCAAGGGGGCAAGAGGAGCTAATCTATCTTTCTAAAAGCCACCTGTGCACCTAAACAAGTTATAATATTTCCTTGATTTATGACTACATCTTAATTATGTGCTACTGTGTAGAACAGTATGTTCTCTCATTCTTCTGTGTACTTACTGAGATAACATGCTAATTGGCCTTTTGTGTATTTTACTTTATTGAGTTTTGCATCATTTACTTCCAATCATATTGAAATTCAACAATAATGAATCTTATAAACGAAATCTACAGAGAAAAGAAGCATTTTGGTTCAAGGCCAGAACAGCACTAGTGCATTTTTTAAAAATCTGTATAGAGTGGTTCCTGCCTGTGTCTACTAAATCTTACTCAATATTAATGCATGCTTTTGCAATTTCCTTCAGTGACACAGAAAGAATACACAAAATGTCTCTTGATCTATTTTCCAGCAAGATACTGCTTTTTTTTAACAAAATATCCATACATTTAAAAATGAACCACAATCCTTTGATCTTGAAAGCCATCAAGTTTCATACATATTAAGTTCTGGGCTTCAAAACACACCATCATTTTTACAAGTATTCCCATAAGAAGGAAGACTGAGTGAATGCCCCTTGTTAAACTGCATTTTATTGAGAAACCTAGTTTCATAGTAGATCCTTCTCAAATTTATTTTGGTATTGATACATTGGCTGTTTTTCAGATCTCATTTACAGAGAAAATGTAAATTATTTTATTTGCTTCAGGTAAACACCATGACTTTTCCATAGTGGTTTGATCAAATGCACCTGTAATATTTTTCTTACTAAAAAAGTCTTCAAAATGCAAGGTCACAAAAAACAGAATACAAACCAAATCCATCCAACAATAAGGCAAATACTGAACAGTCACTTAATAGATTACTGGAGTGGTAATCTTTTGCCTTTTTAAAACATCCTTAATGAAGTAGAAGCCAGGTTATCTCAAAATAACAGAATATTAGACTTCTGTGAAATTTAAAGACTTTCTTTGTCCAGGGAATTTTAACCTAGGCCTAAGAAATGGGTTTCAGGTGTCCATGAATATACACAAATTTTACAAGTACTGCTGTTTTGCTTCCTGGAAAGGGGTCACGGCTTTCTCAGATGGTCATGAGATCCCCCCAAAGTTAACAACTCTGAATTTGAGTCCACCTTTGTGTATCTGCTCAGAGACCCGAGGGCCTTGAGAAGTTGCCTGCTTTGTCTCAGGCCCCTGAGCCCCCAGACTCAAGGTCTTCAGACCTCCGCCTCTAGGATGGAGAGTCAGTGGTTTAAGTGACTGGCACCTGGTCCTTGGCTCAGGATCCCAGCTCTGCCACCTGAAAGTGCTGTGGCATGGGGACAATTACTTAACCTCGCCAAGTCGCAGTTGCCTCAGCTAGAAACTGGAGTTGAAAGTAGTAAAAGGGATAAGCATTCAGTATTACTTATGGTTATTGTTTCTGTATGAAGCAATCCCACCAATCAAGCAAAGAAAGGTGATATTGGAACTTGGGCTTATTTTGCCACAACCTTTCGATCTGAAAAAGAAAGTGATACTGAGATCACTCTTCCAAACACACTCAGTTCCCATGTTAATGTAAACTAAATGCAGAAGGGAAAGTCACCATGACGCTGCAATGAACCATGCTGCATTGCTGCTAAACCCGGGTGACCAGCAATACCAACTGTATGCAGAACTACCTAAAAACTGCGTACCCATGTCCCATGAAGCCCAAACAAAATGCATGTCTAACTCGATGATTAAAAAAAAGTAAACTGTAGACTCACTGGATCCAAAAGAGTTTGTTGCCTTTCCACCCCGCCCCCTCCCAGCAAGAAGGGAGGAATGAATGTGAGTGGAAAGAGAGAGCATTCTTAATTGATGGAGGTTCACACTTCTTACTTTTGCAGAATTTTCAAACACATGTGGCCACAGACATGCTGCTAGGGCCCACTGGGAGGTATTGTACGAGGCCCAGGCACATGAAGGGCCCTGAACTGAAGTCTTACTAGCTTCATGGTGAATCCGTGAGTTTCTGCAATTTCCAAAACTGATTCCCAGGAGCAGCAGCCTTCTCTTCCTTCATCCACCCCAGTAATCACGGGATCCCGGTGACCTTGGAAGGAGCCAAGAAACTCTGAAGTGGCAGGTAAAGGATGAGGAGCAAGCTGCTCAAACACACTCCACTCACAATACAGAGCTGTTTGTTTATTTTTAAATCTAAATGAAGGAGTGTGTGTTTCTTGACTCCATCTACACTAAAAAACTTGCAACGTTATGAACAAGCTCTTTCCTATTCAAAGTTTTGACTTATTTCCATTCTGTTTTCTATGTATGAACTCATCCCTTTTAAGATTTTAACACTGCATTTGTACTAACACCTAACATATCTCCATTACTGGCCAGCTGTGACCTCTTCACCGTCAGACAATCCAGTTGCTAACTGCTTTATGCATACCTCTGAAAGTCAGCCAGCTGCTAGGGTTAACTTGTTCTAACTCTTCCAGTCCACCCTTCCGCCCTGGTTTCCGGGGGCCAGTCCAGATGCCACATTCCCTTCAGCCTTGCAGATCAAACTTCTCAAGGTCCCAAGACCATTTTAAATGACTTTCTTCCCCTTAACGTTTTAGCTGATAAGTTCCAACAACTCTGCTCCCCAAACAGTGTTCTCTCTGATCACTGTGAACTCCCTTGACTCTACTTCTAACCTTCCTCACTTCCTGTCGGATCACGACTGCCTCTTCCGTCTCGGCTTCCCTGTATCCACAGCGTGGATGGCTTCTCCTGTGTGGCCGGGCGTTCAGTCACCCTGCCCAAAACACAGGCTTCAATTCCCCTCACATATGTCAAAGATTAGAAGGACATTCAAATGTCCCAATGTCATGCATACTGTAGGTGCTCAGTAATTGCGAATAAATAAATAAATAGTTGAGGCTGAATTCATTTTGTCTAATTTGTCTTTAGATTATATAGGGAATTACTATTCTTTTTTTAAAAAAAGATTTTATTTATTTATTTATTTTTAGAGAAGGAAGGGAGGGAGAAAGAGAGAGAGAGAGAAACATCAATGTGCGGTTGCTGGGGGCCGTGGCCTGCAACCCAGGCATGTGCCCTGACTGGGAATCGAACCTGCGACACGTTGGTTCGCAGCCCGCGCTCAATCCACTGAGCTACGCCAGCCAGGGCTGGGAATTACTATTCTTCATTGACGAATAAAAAGTTTAAGCTCACTATCCAGAAGAAGAAATATTGGAATCTGGAATATACAGATTTCGACGGGAATAAGACAACCATAAATCCCTCCATGAAACATATTCAATAAAAGAACAAGGAGAGCTTATGATTACCTACATGCAGACAATTCAACTGAGACCCTTTGCGCACAAAAATCAACTCCAAACAAATTAGAGCCTTCAACCTAAGACCTAAAACTGTAAAACTCCTAGGAAAAAAAATAGAGGGAAAAGGTTTCAGAATATTGGTCTTAACAATGATTTCATGGATGTCACACTAAAAGCACAAGTAACAGAAAAAAAAAAGGTAACTGGGACTACATCGAACTAAAAAGCTGCTGCTAAGGAAAGAATGATGTAAAAAAGCAACATACTAAATAGGAGAAAATATTTGCAAACCATAAATCTGATAAATGGTTCCTTTCCAAAATATATAAGGTACTCCCACAACTCAACACAAGACTCCAGGAATTTTAATATTTTGCAATTGTTATTTGCTAATTGCCAGTTATCAATATCACTGTACTGAACCAGCTATCTACTTTGCCCCCTTCACCACTGAATTTCACTTGCTATTAATTATTACGAAAAGAGTAGCTAGGTCTCTGTGCACCATGGGACATATTCCCAGGTTTCTGAGTTAATGAAGAATGATATACAGTCAAAGTACTGTGTTTGTTCTTGGCTGGAGCAGACATGCTCTTTTACATTTAGTTAGAACTAACACCCATAGATTATTTCCTTTAGGAGGGAGCGCATATATCAAAAATAATCAATAAAAAACAAAATTCTATGATAACAATCTGATTAGTAATATTTGTCTCATTTACAAAGTTTCTTCACTTTATTCTGCTCTTTAAGGTATCTAAAGGTATATGTGATATCTTTGTGATATGAATAGGTATCTTTGTGATATGAATAGCCCTTAACCGTGTATAATAAAAGCTTTCCGATTTTGGGTACTAAGAAACAATTTTAAAAATTTAGGTGGGCATGTTATTTTACAGGAAATTTTTTAGCAAAAAATGTTAAAGGTCCTTTTTTCCTTTCATATAAAATATAACCTGTACGTCTTCTTTCTTTGATATTTCATACCTCGAAAATTGTCCTTGCCTTTGTGAAAATGGCATAGTGTGCATGATAATAGGGAAGTAAAATTCAAGTTGAAGCTCATCAAGCTAAAGATACTAAGTTGATTTGAAATTTAATAATAGGGCTGCCTCATAGCCTTTTAAAAGCCATTTAATAATAGAAATGAGATAATAAGTCTATTTTTCCCAGAAGATCTCTTTAAAATTCCTACAACTATAAAAATAGTGCTAATAAAAAAATGTAGACATGCTGATCTCATTTCAAAGAACAATTTAAGCATAATCCCTGACTCCAAAATGGCTCACAAAATGCCTTTGACATGAATCACAAAGCCACAGGGATCTTTAAGGGAAATCTGTTTCAAAATAGCCCAAGAAAGGTGGCATCCTCATGAAACACATCTAAAGGTAATTATGCTTCACTGATGAGGTGACACATGCAGACCTTGAAATGCGGAAGTCTGGGAGCTCCAAACAGCTCCCGTCATTTGTGGTCCCCGTCAGTGCAGGGATTAGAAGTCCGAGAGCCAGGGGGACAGCTGCTTCTTCCATAGTCACACTGACAGTTCTGGCGATGTCGTGCCCGATTCCAACGACAGCTTTAGGATATCGTGCACTAGGTTCATTCTTTTACTTCTTTTTTTCCTTTACTTTTCTTTCTTTTTTATTTCTTTGCTATGTACTATAACATGCTATTATATATCTTTACTACACACTATAACTTAAACATATAACAACACCGCAAGAGTCCATATTTTATACTATTCACACCTGCTTTTCCAAGAACACAAAATTTACCAAGGTATATTGGAGAAAGAAATGTTGTTTTTAATGTCAGGGTTTTGTGTTTGTTTTTGTTGCCACCGCTGTATAAGATCTCTATTGTAGCAGGTATTCTATGTGTTGCATTTAATTTAAGTAATGAATACGGATGAAAAAGTAACTTCATGGGTCTGGGGGCACCCAAAGTTAAATGGAGGCTATTTCATTTGTCAGTATGAGACATGGCGACATTAGTTCTGCTCCGTTACTTGTGCTAAGAGCTAGACATTAGTCTCGTATTTGGTAAATCTGCCTGCTATTGTTTGTAAAGCTGCCTCTCCAAATAGAGCAGGCATATTAATCAAAGGTGAATAGATGCAGTTGACTAACGGTAAGAATGAAAATAAATGTAGGCTATCTCCAAATAACTCACCAGTGAAATACCCGGGCTCGGCTAATCTTACTTGCATCATTACCTGATAAAATGTTGTCAGTAATTCAGCTGAACATTTAAATCAGTAACCGTGGATCTTAAATAAATTGAACTGCAATTCAAAATCTGCTAAATGCATATTATATGAGCAAGCAGAAAACTTGATTGACCACCATCTACAACTTTAAAGTGTTTTATTTTGCAAATAAGTAAAGCAAAGCTCAAGGGGGTTACTCAGTTGGCGAAAGACAAAGAAGTAAGTGGTAAGGGCCTAGAAATTCCGTCATTTTCAATTTCTGTTCTAACATATAGTGATGATTTGGTCTATAAAGCACCTACTTTACGTGAATTCCAACTTCAAATAACTTTTAAACTTACTACAAAACTACAACAAAAATTTAAGACATACATTATTTAATGTTATACATATTACACAGATACGATATATACATAATATAGTATAATTATGTTATGCAGTAGAATTCAACACTTTCACATTAATTCTTGGCTGTTAGTGTATCTCATCTTTTCCCATGTTTTCTCTTTAGGTCTTCCAAGGGAGGAGTCGGTCTTTGTGAAAACTACTATGTCAAAACCCCTCTAGTTTGTGAGTTGTACCTTAGTTATTGCTTTCTTTTCTGCTGCTTGATTTTTTAATCACAAATAAAAAATTCCTTCGTATATCCTGTTATGGATTAAATTGCATCCCCAAAGAAAGATATCTTAGAACCTGGCCTTATTTGGAAGTAGGGTCTTCACAGATGGAATGAAGTTAAAATGCAGCTGTTAGGGTGAGTGAGAGTCCAATGTAACTGGTGTCCTTTCAGGGGAAATTTGGACACAGAGACAGACACACACACAGACGATGTGAAGACACACAGGGAAACACCATGTGAAGACGGAGGGTCCGTGTGATGCATCAAAAAATCAAAGAAAACCAAAGGTTGCCAGAAAAAAAAACAAGGAAGAAAGAAAACAAGAAAAAAAAAAAGGAGCCAGGATGAGGCAAGAAAGATTGGCCTACAGGTTCCAGAGGGAGCCTGGCTCTGCAGACGCCTTGATTTCTGACTTCTGACTTCGAGGCTGTGAGATGACCCATTCCTGTCGTTTAAGCCACCCAGTCGGTGGGGCTGTGTTATGGCAGCCCCAGCAAACTGGCACCTATTCCAGACCAGACTAACCAGAAGAAATTCCATTTGCCTTTCTAAATTTCTTTCTTTTAGTTTCCAGTTTCCTTCCAGGTTGGAGAAATAGAAACTAAAGGCATTGTACTCATCCTGGCTCACGCTGGTCTATTTTCCAGACAGTCTCTTGCGGGGGCAAAAGCATACTGTAAAAGGTCCTGTCATTTTCAAGAAATAAATATGATGGAAAAGGCCACTTAGATAAGATAATCATTTCTCTTTTTTGGTGGGAGCGTTTTAAGGATCACCACCAAATATCTGAATGCATATTTAAGAATCAGTTCCCGTGGATTCGGCCCCGACAAACCATTTGGTTTGATGACACTTCATCATCCATCCACGGCTGTCGCCCCAGGCCACCCTCTCCTCCCATTTCTTCTTTCCATCAGTAATTAAGGATTTGCGTGTGACGATCTTTCCCAAATGCCTCTGCCTCTCTGAATCTTTCCTCTGCATCTGGCTACTTCCTTAGATTTCATTGCCTCTTAACTGATCACTTTAACAGCCATGATAAAACCAGTGGATCTATTTTCTTCCAGTGGGAGCAGCAGCCACGCATATCACAGACCCCTCTGACTGTTCATTCTGGGTGTCTCACATACGCTAGGTGCCCGAGTCACGAAGAGGACGACGCAGATTAGAAAGGTTAACTAACAGACTTAAGGTCCTGTATAAAACCTGGTGAAGCTGCAATTCTCTTCCATTTCGCTCCAAAATATATAAGCCTTTTACTACATCATAAAAGGCTCTTCCTATTGGCCATTAGAAAAAAATTATGTTGGTGGTCAGACAGTTTTTAAGTCCTTTGCTCCTTTATTACTTGTTGATACTCTGGTTTGGATGACATTTTTTAAAAAAACCATTGCATGTTTTTATGTTCAAACTACTGACAGACCCTCAGTAATCAAAAGTTCCAATGAATCCCCTGGGCCAATCCATCTAATTTTTATTTCAGTCATTTCATTTGACATAATTCCTGGTTAAAAGGACCTAAGTTAAAATTTCAGATAGTTAGTAAGTGTTACCAAAGAAAATAAAATTACACATCAGAATGCTGCTTATGACTATAAACTGGCATATTAAACCAGTTGTACATACAGAATCAGTATTCCTAAGTTTAGAAAAATGTTTCATTCTTCTGATTATAAAACTTCAGATGAGTCTAAAGCAGAATAGAGATTTCATTTTAGTGTTTTAAAACTTCTAACCTATACATTGTGAGAATGGCTACAAAATAGGGTGCTAGAATGCAGCTCCAGATGGATCTCTGTGTGTTTGTTTACACGTGTTGACGCACTCATTATGGGGAATCTGATGCCCTGAAGTAACCTGGCTCCCTAGGAAGATGGGTACTAGCATTTACCACTCACACAGAGAGACTTCCGGGAGGGAAGGAGGTTATTAACAAGGATGCTGGAACAACAGGTATAATACGGGACTTTGCTGGTAAATAGGGGCACACAGTCACCCTAAATATACATAATATCGATATAGCAGTAAGTTAAAGAAAACATGAGGTGAGAAGAATAGTATAAAACATATATTATTGAGACATGGCAAGGAACCATGTAGAATGGCAATGAATACAATGCCTTATTGCTCACTCTGAACCCTATGCAGGTATATGTATATGAAAACCTATACATTTTTCCTTGGAAAATGTTTCCTGCAGCTGAGTACATCAGGATACTCCATGAGCTTCTATCTGACAAACCACCTTCTCATGGGGAAGGCAGTGACTCCGGAGAGAGGCCCACTGAGACAGAGGGACAGCAAGAGAGTCCAGGTCTGGGCTTTGGTTTCTCAAGACAGGAACCCTGTGAACGAGTCTTGTTCTTCCTTTTTCTCCTTTTCTAATTCAGACAACAGCACAACTGCCAGCTATTCGCCATCTCTGGTACTAGTTAAGGAAGCTAATACTCATTTTGCATATTCACCTGTAACTCAATTCAAACGGTGCACAAGCAACGTATTGCTCAGAAACACAACAACAAAAATATAATAGCCCCTTTTGTAGAATTCAGGGCTGTTATCAGCTTCAGTGGTCTTATCTTCATCTTTACATAAATGCTTAAATGGCAAATTCTGCCAATAGCTGAGATTTTAAAGACACACAGTCACATGATTTGCCCATTTGGAAAAGAACACTGTATGCTACCTTTCAGCTGAGGGCTGTGGACATGCATTCTCTGCAGATGGAGATTTACCGGAACGAATTCCAATGTTTTCTCTCCTTTGCTGCTGCTTGATTTGAAAGAGGACCCTAGGTGGAAAAAAGTACAATATTATTAGTAAATAAATAATAAGTGTGTGCATGCACACATGCTAAAAAGGAAAATCGACATAGAAAACTGTTACAAAAGCTTCCGAAAGAAAAACGTAGTCGTATAATTTGCTTTTCTTCTCAGGAATTTAATTTTTTAACTCCTACTTATGCCTATCATAATACCATGAGTGCTTTTTTTCTTTGTTATTTTTCATACCAAGATGGAAGTGTTAGAAATAAATAGTGCTTTCAAAAAAATCTTGGCCTTTTTATGTTCATAACAATGTTTATTATTGTTTTCACATAACATACCCTCATACATGAAATGTAACTCAGCTGGAAAACGTAAAGTTATTGCTTTCTCACCTGTTTCCTTGCTGAGCTCGGTCAGAATGTCTTGGTACATGTTCACCATTTGATCACAGTGAGTAAGGACATTTTTCCGTAGGTTGTCCCAGTGTGGAGAAAGTTCACCGAGTTCTTTCAGTTCCTGGTTTCTGTTAAGAATGGAAAAGAGAACAAAGCATGTATTTTGCTCTTAAATCCATAGACACAAATTGCTTCATCAGGGTTCTCAAACACATCAGAAACTGATTCACTGTCCCTTTTGGAAAAGCTCTATGTGCTTTTTAGGGGGGAAGTAATCATTTTAACCCAGAGAAAGATATAAATAGTTTAGGCCACAAGAACATCAAAAATTCTGTATGTAAAAGAGAAAACTACAGGTTAAATTCACAGATAAAAATTTCACAAAGATGGCAAAGGCTTTCTTTAATGTACCTAGAGGCCATTCTGCTAAAAAACAAACACTGAATCTCAACAGGAAAATGGCTAAGTTCCAGGCTCCAACAATCCAAAATAAAATAATGGGGGAAGGATCATCGAACTATGTCTGAAGGAAACACAAGTTATTCAGGTAATCTAGTTTGTATACAATAGAATTGTCATTTTTTAAATCCTCAACAGATGATATGTTTTTATTGATTTTAGAGAGAATGGATGAGAGAGAGAGAGAGAGAGAGAGAGAGAGAGAGAGGAACATCCATGTAAGACAGAAATACTGATTGGTGGCCTCTCAATATGCACCCTGACCGGGGATCAAATCCACACCCTTTTGGGGTACAGGATGATGCTCCAACCAACTAAGCCACCTGGCCTGGGCTAGATGTAATTTTTTAAAAGCTCATAAATGGTATGATCAGGTATGATTTTATTGGCCTCAGTTTCTCCCAAGGGGTCAATTTAAGTAAATACTGCATATATTTTGTCCCTTCTTTATCAAAAGGAAAAACTAATCACGCCATTTGGGTTTTAATTATTAACTTTTATCTAATTCTCTATCCTTTATCCAAGTTAATTTAAATAATCAGAATGCCTTCTTAAATTATAGTGATAAATGGTTTTAATATGCTGCTTTGTTAGATCTCTTATTCATTTCTGTAACCTTTTACCAACAACATTTTCATGAGGCTAATTTAACCAGTAATAATGAAACATCTTTGCTATTTTGGCTGTGAAATATGTTAAATACCAAGCTAATAAATTCAGAAGATGTAGAATCTTTAACATCCTGTTAAATGTAAGAGTAACGGATGGTGTGCAAAACTGTGACTTGGCTTCAGATGTTTGCAGCTGCCTTTGTCGTGTGTCAATAGGGTTGTGATGTAGTTTTGCTATAACTTTCACCTGAGGTCTTTCCAACTTTTGTGAACAATAATTTCATTCTCGACTGTCCTGCAGATTACCTGTCATCACACAACATCCATGGGAGAAGAGGTAATTAATGAACAGACAGTGAGAGCAAAGGGAAGTTCATGACCACAGAGTGGGTAGGAGGGAAGGTTGAATAATTGGGAAGGCAAGTTCTTGGTTTGCACTCAAATGACAGGCTATTTGAATTCAAGACAAAACAACAACAACCACCAAAGCAAACAAATAATTCCAAAAGCTGGAGATATCCAAGTCCAGAAGAAACTGGGCCATTCGGTTAAACCTGAGGTGGACAGTATGCACGAGGTGCTGATTTGATGTGTCAGGTTTCAGGCTGTAGTTCTAATAGATACTTATGACAGAGATATTAGGTATTCCCACTTAATCCTAATAGATGCACCAATAGATATTTCATACCAATAGGTTTATCATTTGTTTTCTCTGAATCCTTATCAGAAATAGTAATTAAAAAGGAGATGGTGAAAGAGTAAAAAGAGGGTGATGATGAAGACCCTTCCTACAGTGTGGGACCCTGGCCTGGGGACCACTCCTTGCTTAAGAGAGGCCTGGCAAAGTGTGGTCCTAAACATCTAGTGATCTGTGGGGAATGACTTGTGGTATACTGGAATTAGCCCATAAACTTTTTATTTAAATTTTATCATACCCTTCCAATATGTCAAAATTTATACAAAGCTATAATATAGAGAGAAATCTGGTGCTCACTGTTTAGTTGTTCTAGAAAATGGCATTGAAAAGGTACATATCCTAAAGAGACAACTAACCAACATAAGGTGTCTCTGCATTAAAAGCAGTTCAACTATAAGGGAGTAAATGTATAATAAACAGAGTCAAGTAATCAAAGGTTGTAAACCAAAGTGGGGCAGAGTATGAAAGTAGCTCTAAGTTTAAAAAAGGAAAGAAACTCGTTACATGAATACACTGAGATAGAGAGAGAAGAGAATTCGGTGCACCAGAACCAGAGCACTTTTTAACCAGGAAGCCTGGGGCTGTTTAGATCATGTTTTGGTTTGTTACTTGGTGAACAAGAACTTTGCAGTTGAAAGGTTCTGCTTTACATCTCAGTCCAGGTTCTCAGGAAGGCAGAGCCTGAGATCCGCAATCCCAGGTAAACCTGGGGGAGGAAAGAAGGGAAGTGTTGCAGGGAGAAGGAGGAAGCAGACATAAGGTGGTATGTTACTGAGCCCGGCAGAACTTCACAAGGAAACGTGGCTGGTCGCTAGGTTATGTGGAACAACTCCAGGTGAGTCATATGGAATCTTCGCGCCTCCGAGCAGCTTGCTAGATGGAGGAAGAAATATTTACATGCCATTCCCTCACCATCTTCTATATTTCACTAGTAACAATTCAGCCTATGGGGACCTTAATGCCTTTGCACTCGGTTACAAAATCTGTCTCCTTTGGAGAGCCGCTGGGGAAGCAATACCCAGTGGGGACAGAACTTCCAGGGTCTGGCCTGATACAACACAGGGGCCAGAGTCACTCTGGGTCTTTCCATGGTAGATGCCATTGGAGGCACGCCAATGCCCGGTCTTAATCTTCAGAGAGACTGGCGCAGCTGACGGTGTCAGGAAATCAAGTGACAATGTATAGGGCTCTCCACTGAATAAGTGGTCAGATAGGAAAGGCATGTTGGGGTTAAGCCAGTATAGAAAAGCACGTAAAAATAAAACGGCTTAAACCACCAAAATAGAACATAGTAAACATAGGAGAAAGTTTAGCCTCTATTTACAGCTTCTATTTAAAATGTAGTCTACAAGCCTACTGATGATGTATTCAAGAGGGGAATTCCAACAAGAGAAAATTTGCTCTGAGCCCGTCCATAAGTGGCAGAGACTGGTGTTATTCATGCTTTTTGTCCTATCAGAGTTCTCAGTCCATGAGAAATGTTTAATACAGGTTTGTTGACTGAACACATGAAACGCTTGCTCGCAGATTCTTGTTCCTGGGTTTTCCTGATGTCTGACGTAAATGCAGCGCATGGAGTAGAATGCAGAGCTCTCGCCCCCGTAGAATGGATACACACAACGTGTGTACAAATGAGCCACTGCTGAGCCCTTTGACCTTGCACGGTCTGTGTCTGTAACCCTGGACTGGTCGAGCCTTCCTTAGGAATAAAGAAAGCTTTGAAAATACACCTTCACGTGGAATTACTGTGGTGGTTAGTTTTGTGTGTCAGCTTGACTGGATCACAAGGTGGGTGGCTTCAATTTCACGGAGTGGCTGGGTGACACCATAAAACTGATCAAAGCTCACCTTGATGTCAGGTGGCAGAGCAGTTCCAACCCACAACTCGAGCTGCCTGTCCTTTCACCCACACGGGAATAGAAACTGCATCCGTAAATCAGAGCCTTTTTAAAAAACGCCTTTTTGTACATGCCTGTGGGGTTAGCGTTGCACCCCAGGAGCCACTACTTCACTGAGGAGTGACTGGAGTGGTCACTCACTCTGGTTTTCATTTGACATTCGAGTAAGTGCATGTCGGACCTCGCCAGTGGCTGCCGAGCGCTCAAGGAGGTTCCGAGTCCTGTGCGAAGACTGAGCCGTGAAGCACAATGACTACAGGACTTACAGTGAGCACAGGAGCTCCTTGTGTTTGATAAAGAGCTACATTCAATCATTTCATTTTAGGTAACTACCTTAGAAAAACATGAGGAATAATGAGGATGTCTCATTCCATCCTAAGAGTCTATTTGCTCTCTGTGATAAAGGTGATTTGGTGTTTACTTCTAAATAACATCTTGTTTAACCTTCGAAATTTGTTTTAACGTTATCCAACGTGGACAACGTCTATTTTTTTTAATACCGTGAAGCTCAGTGTTCCCCTTATATCAAAAACAATGGCACATTATAAGAAGTTTCTCCTAAATCCACACATATTAATTACATGCCTTTTCATTGTGGGCAGCATGGATATTACCCACTGCACCTGGAAAGCTGGTAAAAGAAGTTAAGTATGCTAGAGTGCTCATTCCCTTTTTGCGTTATTCCTGTCCTTACTTTTAGAAACCACCAACATTTCCGGACAGTTCACCTTCCGACTCCCGCCCCTGGGTCTGGAGTGCAGATGTCAGCCAGTTCAGTTCCATAGTAGAAGGCATTCAGGAGGCCTGACAAAACACCTACCAGTGGTGCTTTTCAGTGGCCACATCAAGATTTTCCTGATAATCAAGATTACTTTTGTATAGATTGTATAGAATGTCTTAATTCGTTTTTTAAAAAATCCATAGAGATAATTCTATCGAGCTGGACTAAGCCAAATGAGAAAGTCAGTCGCACCAGGCACATTTCAAGTGCTCAGTAGCTATCACGTTAGACAGTGCAGTTTAGATATTTCCATCACGAAAACTTGCATTGACAACCTTGCTCCAGACACATGAGAGGAATACAGCTGAGAAGTGACGTGAGTTGTTTAATGCCATATTGCTAGTAAGTGGCAGGAGCAAGACTTACACTCAGGTCTTGTGATTGCAAATCTATGGCTTTTTCTAAGTTAGAATCTCTAAAGAAGAAGACAAGGCTGGAACCTTCTCCCTGAGGACTCACCTGAATGTAACTTCCACCCAGGTCAACAGGGAGCTGGCTCAAATATTTGGCTCAAGTATGTACTTACAGACAGCCTTGGCTACCGTAACTGCTGGACATTCAAACAACAAAAAATTCTTATTTATTTTCTATTCATTTATCAACAAAAAATGGGCACACTCCTCCTTTTCTGTGGGCCTGCTAATCTGAAGCCTTTCGTCCCAAAGTGTCTGTCTCAGCTCCA